GATAAAAGGTGAAATCCCCGTGCGTTACACTAATTTCTAATACACAGGATAGGTTCTTGTGTTCTCCTTCGCAACTTTACATTTTCTGCAATCGGAAAGCCTGCTTCTGGAGTAGAGCAGCAATCTGACAGCGGATTTGACATTGTGACTGATCACAAACTCCTTAGACGCATAGCCGCAGAGCTGAGAAGCCGCCATAGCCATGCCCAGGGCTTTTTGTTCGTGTGTTCAGAGTTCAATGGTTACAGTCAGATCAACGGTCAGATCTACAATAAGGACATATCCACGCGTTGTCGTCGTCAACGCCCTCAGAGAAGTTGACACAGTCCTTGTGGTGAAATACTGCAACTTCACAATCTCGGTGTGAGCAGACAACCACAGCACCTTCATCCACTAGATATCTTCATTTGCTGCAGATTGCATTTTTAACAATCAAAACATTAAAACCGCACGAAACACATACCACGAGATGGCGGTGCCTCTACCAAATTCAGTGAAACAATTTGTTGCTGTAGCTCGAAAAGGCTGAGCTCAAAATGAAAATCTTGATCAAGCCCTGCAATGTCAAGAAAAAAAAATTCAAATAAAAGCCACAACATAGAAATATACCTGTCGGAAATCCTCGCATAATTTTGTGCAAAGGAATTCTTTGCACAAAATCTTCTTTGTTTTCTTCATTGCATACCCCAGGACTGAAGTTCACGTCGCGGAAACGACCGGTGCCATCTTGATGATCGAGTATGAAAAGAAGAAACCGCTGGCTAAGCACCCCATTACCTGATCAAGTAACTCGTAAGAAAAAGAAAAAGAAGAAAAGTTGCCTTAACCAGCTCGCTTGATCTCCACTTTGATGCCCAATGTGATGGCCACGCCGTTGCGTGACCACCACCGCATCTCTTCCTTGAGCCGCGGGATCGATTCATTTCTATACGACAGCTCAAGGACAAAGCTCGGAAGAGCATTTGGCGTTTGCGATGGCACCCATGCTGTAAAACATCGCAAACTGTTATACACAAGCCACATATCCAAGAGAGTACAAACATACCGACGTCAGGCTCCTTATTGATAACGTACTTGTCGACTTTGAGTGGTATTCTCGTAGATCCAATTCCAAGCAAAACATCTCGGCTTTTGAAGCTACCCCGATTGCCTTGCTCATACCATGCTGATACCATCTGCTCCTTCATCTCATGTACGCAGAGGGCAACAACCTCATGAACGCGTGAGGGATCGCCGTAAAGCCAAACGGACCCAAAATCCTTCCCCGCCTCCTTTACAAAGGAGAGTTTCCACCCGCTTTCGATTTCCAAGCTCCAGAGCTCAAACACACTCTCATACACTCTGGAAGCCACAAGATAAGGGCCTCGACATCGTCCTTTTGCAGCATCCTCTTCTAGCTCAGCTATTGCCTTATCTAAACCTATGTGCAGATCCACAGGCCTGCACACGGTACTGGTAACATCCTCACACCGATAGAGACCACCCTCAATGACATCGCTGACACCACAACACGCCATTACCTGATAATACTACCCTTAGTCTGTCCTGTGTATTTAGGGTAAACCGGTAAACCTTAAAAGCACAACGGTGGTGGGCCATGGCAGGGGCGCGACTGAGCACCGTCCGTCGACCGTTGACGAAGGTAGGACGATAAGACCGTTGACTACCGTTGACCGCTGAACAGGCCGTTGAGGCAATCCCTTACTGCCGAAGATCCTCTATCGAAACTACAACTCCTACAGCTAAATACTCTGCCGTGTTCCCAAGAAATGCTCGCCGCAAACAGCCGCAAACAGCCGCCCCCTCAGAGAACTCCCCGGTTGAATGCCGTGACCAGAGAAATCGACCCACAAGGTGAAAACACGAACCCAAATGAAGCACAAACCGACCCAAGTGAAGAAAAGAGCTGAAAACGAGAAAACAGAGGAAAAACGACGGAACTGCCGAAAAAAGAAAAACAGAGGAACCCACAACCGGAAAAGGAAAATAACGAAAATAAAGGCACTGGAAGCCTAGCTCAGAATCCGAGGCTCCGAAAAAAAAAAAAACAACGTTCAATCAGTTGCTCCTGCAATTTCAGCCCTCCTTATCGCCTCCTTGTCCTGAAATTCTTGACAGCCAGCCGAGATTTCTACAAGAGAAACGTAAGAAAGTCGTTTGGTCCGCCAGCCAGCCGTCGATGACAACACCAGTTGCAAAAATTTCAGAGAGCTTCCAACTGTGGGGTATAGGTGAAGGTTTCGCACTGTACTTGAAAATGATCATGATCGTACCTTCACAAGAGCAACAAACAACTAACATATATCTTAATTTAAAAGAGAACAAAACTGGACGAGTGAAGTATATATCCTACCTTCGTTCAATATCGCAATGATTAGAACCATGAAAGGTGAAAAAATCGAATTTCCATATCAAAGCCAGCAGCATAAGACCGAGTTTCAGAAAAACGCAAAGGTAAACACAAGAACCTGTTCCATAAATGAAAAATACTCACTGGTGGTGTTGGATACTGCATATATATATGTATAGGAGAAAAAACGAGTCAAAGATATTACGATTACAAAACAGTTAAGATCATCATTAACCAACGTGGGTCCGTATTATTTTTATGTTAAGTCATCAGTTTTTTCGAGCACATTTGAATGGCACTCAAATTGTACTAAGCTCAGAATTAGTGAGAGAGAGGCCAGTTGCCATTTAAGTTTCCAACCATTGGAAAATCTTTATTTGCAACTGGCAAATTTGTTATTTTGGTTGTCTGTATACATAATTTACCATGCAATTTAAGCAACTGGCAAGTAGCATGCTCAGTTGTTTCTATTTGATGTTGCAGCAACGGTGGATTTTGTGAAGAGTGGTCGCCGTTTGCAATCGCTAGACGACGCTCCGAGTAAAAGAGCCTATGCTTCAAGAACCTGATGATGGAGAAAGCTTCAGTGGTTTAAAGCTGTCCAACTCTTCGAATCAAACAGCGTTTATGTGATCGATGATGAAATTCTGCTCAACTGAACTCCAGAGCTGCTGAGATATCTTCCATCTCAGTTGCACAATTCGCTTCCAAATTGATAAACAGCTTCAAGATGTATGTCAAGCAATACGTTGTTTCATCATTTATCAGTAGAACAATTAGACACAACTCCTACCATTTATTGAGTTCTCATACAACAACACAGTTCACGGTTCCATGCAACAAACATTTTTCTTCTTTCTCCAATACTACCATCCACGATGGACGTTTCATGGATCCGTTTCTCTACTGGCCAATTTCTCTACCACAAACCGGTCAACTTAACTCCAACACATTCATCATGATCTCCAAGAATATTTCCTCGAGGCTCAGAAACGTCACAAACTCCATGGCTCCTAAGTTAAAGGTTGGTGATTAAGTTTGGTTATTGCGGTGCAACATTCAAACTACTCGTCCATCTGGTAAATTCGACTATCAATGCCTCGGTTCCTTCCAAATCTCTGCTCGCATTCATGAAGTTGCATATCAACTGGATCTTCCTCCGAGTATGTGCCTCCATCCTGTCTTTCATGTTTCCCTGCTCGAACCATACGTCACCAAAATGATATTCCAAGTCTCGTCATCCCACCAGCTCCCGAAGTCCAAATCGATTGTCACCCCAGTATGAAGTTGCTGAGATCCTCGATTCTAAGATCCTTCGACATCGGATGTACTACCTCATCGACTGGGTTGGCTACTCTCCAAGAGATTGGACATGGGAACCCTCGGAAAGTTTAGTAGATTCTTCAGGTGAATTTTCTGACTTCCACGGCCGTGAACAAAGTCATGGGAACGTTGCAGGGTCACGAAATCCCAAAGGGCCAGGCCAAGATCGAGCAGTTCATGGATTCCTCCCACGCAAAGATCACCAAGCTCGTCAAGGTACCGACACTCTCATTCTTGTCAATTCATCCTTGTTCTCTTTTTGTGCAGGGATACTTGGACAAGTATGTGTCGTGATGTTTTGACAATGGTTGGAAGCCGGAAGATTGATTTCTCAATGTAAGTCTATAAGTATCAATAGCTAACGCGCACTGGTTGCAGGGTCACGAAATCCCAAAGGACCAGGCCAAGATCGAGCAGTTCATGGATTCCTCCCACGCAAAGATCACCAAGCTCGTCAAGGTACCGACACTCTCATTCTTTTCAATTCACCCTTGTTCTCTTCTTGTGCAGGGATACTTGGACAAGTATGTGTGGTGATGTTTTGACAACGGTTGGAAGCCTGAAGATTGATTTCTCAACAGATTGTATTATGTAAGTCTATAAGTATCAATAGCTAACATTTAAGGTACGCGCACTCTTCTGTGTTCTTCAATTTCTCTATGGTATTTCTTTCGATCCAACAAAAAAAATCGGTTTTTGATGAGCCAGCTCTAGGTGGTCACTCCAGCAAGATATTGGCCATGAGGATATAAGGTCCGGGGTTCTCGGGGTGTGCCTCAAACGCGCTCCACGCCGCTCGGAGACCACACTGGATATCACTGTGGATCCGAGCGCCGCCAAGCAGCGCTCCCCAGGTGGTATCATCGGGAAGATATGGCATGCTCTGGATAAGCTCCTCGGCCTGTGGGAGCTGCCCGGCTCGAGCCAGCAAATCCACCATGGAGCAGTAGATCTCAAAGTGTGGAGCTACGCATCGATCTTCCAGCATGTACAAGAAGCACTGGCGGCCTTCTTCGACGAGCCCGACGTGCCGGCAAGCGCTCAGGATGTTCACGCAGGTGGCCTCGTCGGGTGGAATTCCCAGGAGCTCCATCGGTTTGAGCAGCTCCAGCGCTACCTTGCCATGCCCGTTTCGAGCATACGCGGTCGCCATCTCGGCCCAGGGCTTGACGTCCGGGTGTGGGATCCTTGCGAGAAGATCCCGGGCTTCGCCCAAATGCCCGCTCTGGGCAAATGCTGCCACCACCGCGGTCCAGGTGATCCAATTGCGCTCCGGCATGGATTGGAATGCGTGCTTCGCTTGGGCGACGAGGCCGCTCTGGGCGAATCCGGCTGCGATGCTCGTCCAGGAGATTACATTCCTCTGGGATATCCGATCGAAGGCGGTGCTTGCCTCGTCCATCAGCCCCGCCTGGGCGAAGCTCGAGATCATCGCGTTCCAGGAGACTGGGGCATGGAATCGAAGACGGCCTTGGCCGCGACGGCGTCTCCGACGAGCCCGTGCACGGTGATCATGGCGTTCCAGGAGATCACATCGAGCTGTGGCGCGCGAGAGATCGCGGCGATGGCGTCGTCGACCTGGCGAGATTGGGCGTAGGCGGCGATGAGCGCGTTCCAGGAGACGATGTTGCGAGAGGGCATCGAGTGGAAGAAGGATTGGGCGTCGTCGACGCGACCGCTCTGGGAGAAGACTGTGATCATCGCGTTCCAGGCGATGGAATCCCATTTGGGCATAAGAGAGAACATCTCGACCGCTGGATTCAAATCTCCCGCCGTCGCCAGGCCTTCGATCATGGCCGTCCAGGACACCACGCTCCTTTCCGCCGCGGAATCGAACATCGCCATCGCATCGTCCACGTGCCCCTCTTCCGCGAAACCACGAATCATGGCCGTCCACGACACCACATCGTGCTGGGGCATTCTCAAGAACACGCTGCGCGCCCTAGCCACATCCCCGCTCTCGGCATTCGCGACGACGATCACAGTCCAGGGGATCACATCGCGCTCGGGCATTCCATCGAAGATCCTCTTGGCCTCGCGATTCTCCCCGCGCTCGACGTGTGCTGTGATCATCGCATTCCAGGAGACGACGTCGTGCTGCGGCATCCGCCAGAACATCGCGCGCGCGTCGTCAAGATTTCCTCTCCTGGCGTAGCCAGCGACCATCGCGTTCCAGATCACGATGTTTTGCTGGGGAATCGAGTCGAATATCGCCCTGGCATCGTGGATCCGGCCGTGGCGAGTGTAGAGCGTGATCATCGTGGTTCCAAGGTACACATCCCACTGCGGCATGCTCTTCTTGATCTTCTTGGCCTCCGCCACATCCCCTCTCCGAGCATAGGCAGCCGCCAAGGAATTCCAGGTGACCGCATTGCGCTCGGCCATGGCATCGAAGATCCGCCGCGCCTCCTCGACCTCTCCATTCTCGACATAGGCCTGGATCATCAGATTCCCGGAGAAGGAATTGGGGCAAGGGATGGAGTCGTGCACGGATCGCGCGTCGCGGGGGCTGCGGCACTTGCCATACATCTCCACGAGCAGGTTGGCGAGGTACAAGCTCTGGGCATGGATGCTGCTGCCGCGGATTCGAGCATGCAATCGCCGCCCCCCACACAGGTCGCGGTTCCTCCCGCATTCGCGGACGAGCTCGCCGAGATTCTTCTCCTCGACTCCAGCAGCATCGTCTCTCATCGGCAGATGCCCGGCTATGGCATCGCATTCTCGGCGCTAGAGGAAAGACAGTTAAATACATTCATCGACTCAGGCTAGCTAGAACAAGGGAGACCTGTGAGGAGTTCCTTTGCGGTGGCTTCTGGGCGATCGTGAGGAGACGAGCACTAGGCTTTTACAAGGCGTGGTTGTGGGTGTGGCGGCCATCTCCGACGAGAGCACGGAGTTTGGAGAGGGTGGAACTAGAGTCACTGGTGGGGGATGTTGGTGGCGAGTAGTAGTACTAGCAGCAGTGGTGGTGGCGGTGGTGGTGCTGGGTTCTCGATCTCTCACAACTATCTGGAGCTTGGTCTTCTTGAAGCCCAGTATCCGAGGAGGAAGAACTTCTTCGCCAATGCTTTGCTGCCGCCTCTTGAGTAGATTGACGGTGGTGGTGGTGGTGGTGGCGGCATTCTCATTCTGGTGGTGGTGGTGGTGGTGATGGTCGCTCGTCGCCATGGATGACGATGGAGCTGGATTGAGTTCTTCGCGGTCTTCCAGCGATCCAGTGGGGGATGACTTACCTGGAGAAGGCCCCGCGACGATGGCCGTGTCGTCATAGCTCGCCACCACGCATGCAAGCTTACAAGAAATGGAGCAAAACCGGAGGGGATCCGAGATGCTTCTCCCGCACGTCTCGCAGCAGCGAAGCGATCCTTTGGCGAGCCTCGACTGCGGCCGGCTGAGGAGGAAGGCGATCTTGGCACCATTGATGGTGTAAGGCTGAATGCCCGTGGTGTCGAGCAGCTTGTGGAGGTCGTTGATACGCACAGCGTCCATGTGAGAAGCTCGCCTCACCTGGAGCGTGGTGTGCGAGAGATGATCCCGCAAGCCCGAGTGACAGAGCGGCCCCTCGCAGCAGTCGACACAGAAGTGGTTTCTCTCATTCTTGCTCGAGACATGGCTGCGGCAATGAGCGAAGTAGTTGCCTGCCAGGAACGCCTCCAACCAGCCCGGGACCGCCATTACGCTGCATTCTCAGCGATGCATGCTCGCTTCACGACCAAGTGATGAGGCTCGAACATGGCAATGCGCGAGCCGACCATGCAGCGTAATGGGATTTGGAGCAAGAACACCGACACGATCCAGCAATGGGCGTATCAAAAGGGAAAGAGGACGAGCGAAGCAGCAAGAGTAAAGGAGAAGGCGACGACGGCGCTGGAGAGGAAGCAGGAGACGCGAATAGAAGGACGAAAGGCCGGTCCGCCATGGGCGATTTGTGTGGAGCCTGGAAATAGAAGGCGAGGTGACGAATCTCTCCATGGCCGATTACCAGGTACTGCATGCTCTTTGAACAACACGTCTTTAACTTCCGGGAAACATGCAGCTTTTATTCTTCGCGTAGATTCTCCACCACTGTGAGACAAAAGGAGTTTTTGGAACAAAAAATTGGCCGCTAAGTCTACAGCCTACTTCTTTGATCCTTCACGAGAGCTGCGAATCATGCTCTCCACGAAGAACTCTCCGGCTCGGTACGACGATCGGACCTGCAAATGGTAAGAACATTTTCTTAAAGTTTGCAATTATGTGGGAGAGGAAGAGTACTAACCAGTGGACCACTTGCGACGTATCGAAACCCGACGACTGACTCCCCGTATTCTTTCCAGAAGTCGAACTTCTCCGGAGTTATGTACTCTTTCACCGTGAGGTGCACAGGAGTTGGCTGTCGGGAAGATCGTTCGTAAGCTAAGGTAAACAAGCATACTCGTCACTTCATTGCTATCACTTACTTGTAAGTACTGGCCAAAGGTAACGATGTCAACTCCCGCAGCTTTGAGATCGTCCAGAGCTTGTTTGATCTCGTCATCCTTCTCGCCAAGCCCTAGCATGATCGACGACTTTGTAATGAGGCCATCTTTCGATGCCTTGGCGAGTTTCAACACTCCCAAGCTCTGCTCATACCTGCATCAACAATGCCCGCGCTCATGGATCCAGTAAGAAAGAACGGAAAAAAGGTATGGAGTTTTCGTTTTCTTACCCGGCTCTTGGATCACGAACTATTCTTTGCAGCCGCTTCACAGTCTCGATGTTGTGAGCGAAAACGTCCAGACCGCAAGTAGCCACCGTTGTCACGGCCTCCGGATCGCCTCGAAAATCCGAAACCAAGCATTCTACCAGAATCTCGGGCTTAAGTTCCTGGAAGAACAAAACAAGAGGTCTTGTCTTTCTCCAAGCAAAAACAAACTTTCTTTTGATACCTTGAGCGTTCTTACAGTCCGAGCAAAATGGCCGCTGCCGCCGTCGGGCATATCATCGCGATCAACGCTGGTGAGAACAATATATCCTACACTGGGAAAGCAAAGAAAAGAGTTTTCCATCACCAAGAACGACAGGAGAAAAACTGCTCGATCGATCTCTTACCCCCAACTGGCGATAGCCTTGGCAGTGTTCTCGGGCTCCAATGGATCCGGAGGAGCTGGATTTCTGCTCGTCGCAACCGCGCAAAATCTACATCCTCTCGTACAAGTGTCTCCCAGCAGCATGATCGTGGCAGTCCCAATTCCATGCGCGCCATCGCCACTCCCACCATTCCAGCACTGCCAAGAACAAAGATCCAACCAAATCCAATCGATGAGAAGAAAATGCCCGGACTGGGCAGCTGCTGGCAGCCCACCTCGCCAATGTTTGGGCAGCGCGCCTCCTCGCAGACCGTGTGGAGCTTGAGCGCGCCTAGCGATTCCTTGAGCTCCGAGTAGCGATCGCCCTGCGCCGCGCGCTGCCGGAGCCACTCCGGCTTCTTCACGGACAAATCTCTGCCGGTGTGCGGCCCTAGGCTCGCGGATCTGGAACGCTCTCTCACACTCACCGTCGCAGAGGAGGATTCCTCTTGGGTAGCGCAGGATCGAGCAATTGGGCGCGATCTCGCCGGAGCTATGGAGCTCCACAGCGCTGCCGCCATGCCTCTCCTTGCTCAACAAGGGTTCCTGCCGGCGATGATCGCGAAGCCAGAGCCTTCCATTGATTCCAAGCTTAGAAGGTAGCTAAAAAATTTCTACGGTAGAAAAGCTTTCTCTTCGAATCGATCATTGGAGTGCGCGTCGGTGGCATGCGAGGGGAAGAAGAAAGTCCTCTCGCTCCCACCAACGCAGTTGACCAAAACAACGACCAAAGTTTTGACTACCGTTGACCCTTAGAGCCCTAATAGTCTAGAGAATATCCTTAGGACATGCTAAGATATGCCTTAAAGTTTGACTATCGTTGACAGATCCTAGCATTTGTTTTCACAGTTCCTCGAGAGGAGGGCATCGAGAGAGCATCGAAATGTTTGACCCCGCCGACCAGAGGTCCTGGCCAGTGTTGACCCGGCTCGCGTGGATAATCGCCACCGCTGTAGCGAACGCTTGCAGCGCCGACAATGGCTCCTTGAATTTGACCGAGAAGAGACCGTTGCTCAATCCCACCAGCTCGAAGCAATCTCGATCGATTTGCCCCCGCCCACCTTGGATCTAAGTTGGATCAACAAGAACTTTGTCAAGAACAAACCAAAACCCGTGAAAAACTCTCACCTGGAGGGAGATGTCTAGTTTGCTGGATAGCGGGCTTCTAGCGTCCGGGTTTCTTCCAAGAGTGTGAAGCGCGCATCCCAGATCCCAGCCTCCACAATCGCATTTTCCCCTCCTCCACCGCTGGATCAAAGAACTCGGACCACCGGCACCACCACTACTGCTGCTATCACGGTCACCACCATCGCTGTTTGGACGATCAGGGAGCCCATGCTCGCCAACGGGAAGAACGGCCGTCACGCTCATGGCCGCGAATCCATGATCTGGAAGAGACTCCACGCTGGGATTCCTGGAATGCGAGGAGCTCTTGAGGTGATGGTGATTAGTCGCTAGGCCTGGAAGAGTGACGACGATGGCTGCGAGCTCTTGCAATGGATTCATCCTCTTCTTGGCGGCTCGAGATCTCTCATCGGCCTCCATTTGCTTCCAGACCTCGCGAAGAATGTCCAGCTCTTGGTCGTCATCGTCGGCGATCTTCCCCCTGGTCGGGCTGGAGTTGTGTGACAAGCTCTTCTTCTTCGTGATCCTGGTAGAGCTCTTGGATGGATTGGACGAGGAGCTCGCCGAGGAGAGGCTGCTGCTCTGCCACGATGAGAAGCTGAGACGATGATCAATGGACTGGTCACCTTGGCGCTGCTCCAGCGCCAACGATCTCTCGCAAACATCGCTTAGAACAAACTGGAGCTCCGCGATCGATGAAGGGCTCCTTCGCAATCTCATGTTTGCCACCAGCTCCGAGGACTCTTGCGGCCTGGAATCTCCAGCGCTGGGCGACGCCCATGCCGGCCTCCACGAAGATCGTGCCTTCGCCCTAGAGGAGCTACGCTTCCACGAGAAGAAAGAACACACCTCTTCCTCTTGACCTTGTGGCTGCTCGTCCTCTTTCTCTCCTCGATCGTGCTGCTCCCGAGGCCTGGGCACTCGCGCGACGAGGCGCTCCTCGGATCCATCCACGAGATACGTGTAGCTATGGTGGTCGTGCCGGATCGCGCAATGCAGGTGTGCCGAGGAAGAACTGTTGCCGCTGTTGCTGCCAGCGCTACTGCTGCCGCCGCTGCTACTCCTCTTCCGGATCAGCGCTCTAGGCAGCGCGTCCAAGAGAGCCTTGAGAAGATCGCCACCGCCACCATCGCTCCTCTCCTTCCTAGGGCTTGGGGAGAAGAAGCGCGACGAGGGTCGTGGCTGCTGCTCGCTAGGGCTGGATGTGAAGAGCAATCTCCTGGCGACGTGGCGGCGACGCTCACTATCCTCCTCGTGGATCATCGTCTTCTTCTTCTTCTCCGTGAGAGATCGCATCAATGCCCAGGCCGGGTATCTGTCCGCCATAGCCTGGACCGGCGGCAATGGCGATGCTGGCCATGGCGGCCGATTGTCCTCTTCCTTGTCGCCATCGTCTACCTCCGGAAGAACGAGCTGGCCGCGCACAAGCGTGTAATCCAGGAACCCACCTTGTTCTTCCACTTCTTCGCGTTCTTGAGCACGATTGGAGGAGGTGGCTGTGCCGCCATCGCTGGTGGAGGAGAAGGACGAGGATTTCTTGGACGAGAAGATGGATGAGGCCGCCTCCTGATCGCTGCTGCTGGATGGGCTTTGCTTCTTCTCGCCACGATCATCATCGTCCTTGCAGTCGCCATGACGAAGAAGAAGATCTTCTTCCAAATCGCTAGCGCTGCTGGACGCGATGATGGGCTCCTCGGGCATAGCATCCAGGTAGACTCCTAGTCGCATCTGGAGGGCGTGCTTGCTCTCGCCGCTCCACAGGCTGCGGCGGACGGAGCTACACGGCTGCGGTGGCGGCGTTGGGCGTTCCAAGAGCGAGAGCGATCGCCGCAGCTTCACTCTCTCCCTGCTCCTGGGATCCTGGCTTTGCCGCCTCGATGGTGATGACGATGATCTCGGGAACTCTACGTCCCAGACGCGAGTGCTCGACACCGGCTGGATCAACTGGCGCTGCCGCAAAGGACTGAGCCACGGAGACGATGGTTTGGACGACGATTTCCTGGTCGACCACGGCTTGATGGTCCTGCTACTGTCACTGCCAAGATGAAAGCTACCACGCAAGCAGTCTTCGTCGGCCATAGCTGCCATGATGCTATAGCTCTCAGAACAAGCTCACCTTTCTTTCTGGCCGAGCCACACAAAACCACCTCAAGACTTCGCTCTCAAAGTAAGTTGATTTTGGCAGATTGGCAGCAGCAGCCATCCTGAGAGGATGATCACGGAAATCGTTTCGAGTACAGTGATCACGATCCGTGGAAGCCGACAGCGAGCAAAGCTACAAAACCTGGTGGGGAAAACCTGTGAATGTCGTGAGCATCTGCTGCTTGCGTGTGACCCCCGCATTCGCGATCGGGAAAAGGGAGAGGTGACACCCAAGTAGAATCAAAGAGAAAGAGTTCCGTCCGTCCTCCTCCGGCCAGACAATACAACAGTCTTTGCTGAGCGACGCAGCGCTCGTCCTTTTGTCGGGCTCCAGTGGCCCGTCCCGAGAAGACCAAATTCGACTTCAGCTCATGCAAAATGTCAAGAAATGTTAGTATCAAAACACCGCCACCTTTCCATCTCAAATGCGCCGTCACTTTTCTCAAGTTATAACAAAAATACTGGGCACCGTATGTTTGTGAAAGAAAAGTTGCTGTGTGTAAGTGTCTGGCCATGGCAGCCACAGAATCCGACCATGCAGGCTTGGTGAATCAGCGTAAGGGTAAAGATCGTCACTATGCTTAAGATATAAAACACACATTGACTGATATTGAATTATTGGAAGTACAACTCAAAGGAAAGTCCAGCCAGATTCAAAGCACTGAAGGTGAAACGAAACTCCCCTCTTCTTGTCCAGGGTGGGTGCCAAAGCAGATCTGTAAAACCTCAAGCTTTGGATCGATCAACTCGAGGGAATTTGTAGCAAGCTCCACTAAAGATTTCTGCTCCTAGCTTTCTCTCAGTTACTAGAAAGTTTTCTGGAGAGATCAGGGATTCATGCAGTTGTGCTCCTTCTGTTTCCCACTGCTGCCCTTCCAGTGTACCAGCATCATTGTCAAGGGACGCTAGAGTATTAGGAAAATCTTCAGCCATTTCAGTAGGATTGTCAGGAAGAATCAAAAAAGAAGGAAGAACACCACCGGTAACAAAGGAAAGAAAAACAGCACATAAGAACTAAAAAGCACATGGTCCTTTGCTTTTAAACTTGGCAGTATTTTCGGCGCATTAGAGATGGAGAGGTGGCGGTGATTTGAGAAGATGCTAACATTTCTTGACAGATGAAAAAGAGCTTGAGCTAAAGTGGTTAAGAGAACACTTCTAGGGACGGGCCACTGGAGCAGAGACCAATGCTCGTGGTCAATGTCTATGGTCAATGGTCAATGAATTAGATTTGATGGACGCGGGCGATCCTCTGCAAGATTGAAATCGAAACCGCATCCTGGACATCAATGAGATCTCATGAAAGCGATTGCTGTTCGGGGTCACAAAAACATAGTATCAAATCAGGGCGAAACATAGTCCATCTCAAATGCCACTTCCCCCAAGTTATAACATAAATACTGGGCACGGTATGTGTGTGAAACAAAAGTTGCTGCTGTAAGTGTCTGGTCATGCCAGTCACAGCACAGTCGCAATCCGACCATGTAGGCGTATTTCTACCCTAAACCTGTTTCGTCCAGATTCGCGAGCATTAGGAAAATATTTCACTAGGACTAGCAACGGAAAGAAACAACTGCTCTCCCTTCCTTTCATCCCTAACCCTCTGGGTGACTGCAGCGATCGAGCCTGAGCAATTGGCAGTAGTTTTTAAACGTAGAACTTAATCAAAGACGAATGCATCAGTGAGGCACCTCACAATATTTTGTGGCTTCTCCTGGATCTTACCCTTGAGCTCTTCAATATATATGACTTCGATATTGTGGAGGACATCAAACAAGTTGAAATAAAGGAGAATATAGCCCTGAGGAGAAGGTTGAGACCCAATCCAGGTGAGAAACTGTTATCATCTTGTTACTCGTTTACATATGTGCTCACTGGATTGGGAGTGGGTGCCACCATTCGACTGTGACGGACAGCCAAGTCATTGTGGGTGGTGCTTTTGTTGTTGCGCTCGTTGCGTCTGACAGGGCGATGGTATGACTCTGATTTAGCACTCACTAATGTGGTGACGGAACGCATCCGGCCTAAGGAGCTCTTGTTAGAATTGCCTCCTTCCCTGGAGGCACGGGGTATTTCGAGGGCTGCCCAACAAAACTACGACGTTGTAGGCACGGCAGAGGAACTTTCAGAGTTGGACCCAGCAGTGGAAGATTCCACTGTGCTTGTTTGTGAAAATGTGTGTCCCAAGGGTGAAAGAATGAAGAGCAGTTGGAGCTTCCGGTGAATATATCGTGAGATCTCATTGACAGCTTCAAGGCCCAGATGATGGGTTTTTGTTGATAGAACTTTTCCATAAAAAAAGAGACCTCTAGTTCAATGACCATTAACCATAGACACTGTTATACTTGCACGAGCATTGACTCAAATCTGACAAACGGAAAAGTCCCGGGCCATTGATAGGCATTCAAAGTGAAATGACATTCACGTAATTGCCCCACGCCTCGATCAAAGTTCTTCAGCTAGATCTCACAATTTAGAACCGGCCTGATGGAGACGACGAATTCACAGGTCATGGAAAGATGTGTGTGTGTGTATGTGTGTGTGTGAGAGAGAGAGAGAGAGAGAGAGATATGTTGCAGCTACCTAAACGCAAAACTCTTAACATTGGCCTGACCCACATTCAAACATTGACTGTAGCTCTAACGGTGCTGCAAAAGCGAAGAGAAGGTTTTAGATCGAGCACAAGGGCTGCGGGGAGCGCCAATTCAAGTAAGTCCCAGCTCGATTTCTTCCTCTCGATCTCTAGATCTAGCTGCCGCTAGCTGCCGCTAGCTGCAGATCCGCTCTCGCCTGCCTGCGTGCAAATTTGTACTTTTGTTAAATGATCTATGTTCTTAGGTGGTTCCTAGTAATCGATATGAACTGCATCATAACAGAAATTAAGTCCCGCATTGAAAGTGAACCGAAACTTCCCACGGTCAGGAAGTTCGTCCAGGCGTCTCATAACCGCGGAGAGGATCCTGTCAAGCTGTGGACGCGATCGGGATCAGAAAGTGTGTCGTGGGCCTCTTTTTCGCCGAAGATGATCTACGCGACGTCTGCCGTGTGTGACTGGCACCAAGCTTGTCCCTGCCAAGGCAGTCTTGTATCCACTGATCTATAAAAACCTCATGGATGTTTTCTCTCAGTCACTCGAAGGTTGTCAGGTAGGCAATTTCTAGCCAGATTTCCTGTGATCTTGGAGAGATCAAGAATGGTTCATGTGGTTGTGATCTTGGGCATGCTCCTCCTGTTTCTCCATGCTGCTGCTGCTGCCAGGCCCTTCCAATCGACTAGCACCATGAAGACAATGGATTCAAAACCAGCACCGGTTTCAAGCAAAGTGTTAACGTTTGAAGCATTAAAAAAATCTCCAGCCATTTCAGGAGGATCGCCCGGAAGAATCCATAATAAGGGAAAAGAGGGAAGAGCGTAGCAAAGGAAAGAAAACCGGCACACAACAAAATCTGGTCTCAAGGCCATGATAAACCGCTATTCTCACTCTCAAATGTAATATAAGTTGCAAACAATGACTGGCTAATGTACAATTGCCAAAAGCAAGGTTTTCTTGTTTGGTGACAATGAACAGCAATTTCTTTGGTAAGATCTCATTGGCAGCTTCAATGCCCTCGAAGAAACTACAGAGAAATCAGCAGAATTTTGTGATGGTTCTTTGTTGATACGAACAACCGCGTAGAACTTCACCAATCAAAGACCGATAATTCATTGACCATTGACTATAGGCATCTAACTGTGCGTCAGTCAAACAAAAAGTCCCGTGCCATTGACAGGGATTCAAAGTGTAAACTAGTGCTGCCAATCAATACTTCGAGGATCACGTTAAGGTTCCAACATGAGGGGCGGCAGGTAGATTGGTGAAGCCTAGGGCAGTGACAGAAGGCTCAGTGGCAGAAGACCTGGATGAGTTCAACAAACGAATGGCTCAAGAAATCATTTACTATAATCCGTTTTTTTGGTGGGCACTGGGAAACTTTGTAAACAACGAATGGATGAATACATACAAACCCCATGTTTTGATCGAAGTTATCAATCAAGTTCTCACAGTTTAAAGCATACCTCATCCAACCAGAAAGTGGTAGAGAATCTGAAAGGAGAGATCAGGAATGTTTTGTGCGATTCTGTACAGTAAGTTTACTCACTTTCAGCCATTTTCACAACGATCTGTAAAAGGAGGAAAACCAGCACCCCACTACAAAAAGAAACATGTTGGTGTTTTGTTTATTAATAGATTTCTAGCCATATATTATAATACTTTACATGATATTTTTTATATTTAATATTATTTCATTAAATTTTAAAATAAAATATACTTCTGTACTCTAATTATATTGTTATGATTTAATAATCTAATTTCTATTATCTTTGGTTTGTGGTGGCTGGCACGCAAGGAGAATGCTTGGAATTTTCAAGGGACACTGCAAATTAGTAATTGTTTTAAATTTCTTAGGTAGGAGAACTCTAACAAAGGTTTCCGGGCAAAATTTTTGGGCATACAACCCAAGATTGTTGCAGCAGCATCCTGGAACATGCTTGGAGGTCTTGACTGTTGCAGTGCAGGCTTGGACGACGTGATTATTGTAGGGCAGTCATGAACGACTTAGTCTTCGATGTGACTTTCACGGCCTTAAAGCAACGCTAGGGGCAGATCTGGGTCACCCTGTTTTCGCTGTGATCGGGTGTGATTTGTTTCTGGAGGATGGCTCCACCAAGCAAGCAAGACATGCTCCAGACTTTGGACCGGGCGGCATTTGCTGGTAATGTATATGTTATGATGCCTCAGGACAGGAATGATCTAAGGGACAACTTGAGCAAGTACTGGGACCATGTCGCTCAACACGACGGCTTGGTTTCCACCAAGAGCCGCTTAGAGGCCGAGAACGCCAAGCTGAACGCGCGCCTTATCGACTGCATCGAGGGCGGGAAGAAGAAGTGCGATTGCGAGAAGCTCACTGTCGACCTCAACAAGTGCAGGGAGGAGAAGAATCACGCCAAGGAGGATAAGAAGAAAGTCGAAGTCAAGTAAGTGCTGGTGTTTCTCTCCTGGATCCACTTCCTAACTCTCTCTGGGATGACTCCATCAGACTGGAGAAGTGCGAGAAAGGGCGAGAAGGGGACAGAACTAAGCTGAAAGAGTGTCAGAATCGAGTGTGGTGCTTGGAGGAGGAAATCAAGCGCTTAAAGAACCAGCCCCCCAAGGTGATCCGAGTGAAGGAGTACATAACGCGATATGTGCCACAGTACATAACCAAGTATGTACCACAGTACATCAACCGTTACGTAACCCGGTATGTACCACAGTACATCACCCGGTACGTAACTCAGTACGTACCGCAGTATGTAACGCGGTATGTCACACAGTACGTGACCCAGCCCTGCTACAACTATGTCTATCGACCATGCTACAGTGCTTGTGCTTGGGGATGGAATCAATGTCGCAGATGGTGGTGAGAACCCTTTGCTGAAGTTGTGTGAACGTTTGATATGTGGTTTGTTTGATAAAGACCTCTTCTATCTTTTGATCAACTTTTTCATTGTCTTCGAACAGTGAGAAAAATTGAAACAATCGGTGACTATGGTGGGGAGAGGGAGAGCGAGAGCGAGAGAGAAAAGAGAGAAAGGGAGGCTCTCAACTTACCGCTTTCTCCAGTAGTGTTCTATGTACATCTACCTGTGCTTACTTTTGTACAGAGAGTGCTGCTTTTAGTTTTATGTACAATCGTCCACCATGAACGCTTTACGCCTGCCAGACCCAGACCAGTGCATGTCCATCACCAAAACAAAATCGCAAGTCCATCTCGTACCTCTTGCTGGCGCTTCTTGGACGAACGGAACTTGCTGAGCTGGTCTCTCAGGCGCGCTGCATCGTTGTAGCGCTCCTCCACAGCTGCAACCATCATGCTACGGACCAGGACGAACTCTTCCGCCTCTGTACATGTTCCAGATTCCGGCCTAGGGGAGAGAAACTAATCAGCTGCTTTGCTACCGGGAAAACTCGCGAGCGTTACCTGTCCAATGATAGTCCCTTGAAACCTTTTAGTGGCAGCCTCATGGCTTCCTTGACGATGCGAACACCATCGCAATAGGCAAGTTGCTTGTTCACTTGAATCGGAACCTGAGAAGAGAGAAGATATTTTTATTTTCTGTTGCCTGCATTGAAAATTTGATTTTTACCTGGCAACGAACTGCAAGATTTATAGCATCCGAAGGACGCACGTCGAGACTGCAAATCTTCTGAGTTCCATTCTCATCCTGCAAAAAGAAACAAACGAAAAGCAACATCATCATCGATAGATTATACAAGTGACCTTGAAAATACCTTTGCAAGATACAGTCTTGCAAAATAAGCTTCGTGTACCCGTTTTGTGATGCGCACAAGCTTGGGCTGCACCACGTCGCTGTCAATCCAGAACAAGCAGAAAAAACCAGCAGAAACATTCACGTACTTGATATCCCATCAGCTCAATCATATCTTTCATCACATTGTATACTGTTGGTCTGGCCTGTAACAAACACGGTATAGTTTTCCATCAAAAGGAAAATGCGAAACTTACAACTTGAATGTTTCGCACAGCTTCCATGAGCATTGCACAGGGTAACTCCACTGCAAGGAAACCAAGTCGCAAGAAAAAGCGTTAGACAGCTGTTGAAACTCAAAGATGGCGTGACTTACAAACGATTATTGGAAGAAGAAGGTTACTATCGTCGTCCATCTTGAGCACAATTGCCGGCTGTGGTGCGTAGTCTGGTAAGTGACCACCATCAGCATTGTTGTGCTCGCATCTTATGTGACGCCCATCTCGCATTGTGATCATGAAACCGTCAGCTCCACTCTTCACCTCCACTAAAGAAGACACAAGGAAAGAAATCTCCATGAATCGATGTAAGAGAAGCTATTGCAAAACAGCTTACCAGCTTCCAAAACAGTGGAGTTGATATAGTTTTCATCGTCCTGGATAGAATCATCCGCCAAGTTTCCATCGCTGTAGAAGCTGGAGCCGCATTTCACAGGCAGCCTAGCCGGGGAGAGGTGTCGAGACGAGAATCCAGTGCAAGGGCGAGCTCCAAGTAGCTTACTCTTAAGGATCCCAGCTTTCGCGATTCCCAACGCAGTGTTGGAGCAGCCAAGCGCGAGGTCCTGGTTTAGAGCGGCCAAGCCCTGGGCGTTGGAAGCAGCATTGATGACCGGAGCATTCAAGGTCACGGCCATTCTAGATTAGCTTCCAAGATCTTTAGCTTCCAAATTGCGTGGATCTGCCACGGGCACGAGTGAAATTCTAGATTCCAAGCCACGAATCCATGCCATACCTCTCAATCGCGAAGTCGCCCTGCCGGCCGCCAAGGGAATGAGAGGAGAGGCAGCAGTGGCGATGGGAGGCACGGCCGGCGAGGGACGATCCCGTTGGAGGCGAGCAGACTAGTGACCTAGCAAGGCGCGTGCTTATCTTGCACTGCACTCCAAGCCCTCGTCCCGGGGGCTAAAGCACAAAATGGCCGCCTTCACTGTAGAGATAGGAATATGCACTAGGACATTCGGTCAGCTGACTGGAATCTTCGGCAGGGAAACTTATTTGTGAGGACAGGATATTCCTAGAGATATGCTTTAATCTATTGAGAAGAAGTTTGAGGAAACATCTGTTAAAGTATATTAATTTAATTTGCTATGCTAAGACATTGAAAAATATACAGCTAAAATTGCTGTATGAAGTTATTAATTTTTGATAAATGTGGAGTTATTAATAATAGATTTAAAAAAGAAAACATTAAAAATAATTTTTTCTCAATATTTATATTTTAAGAGAATATAAATGTATTACATTGAAGTTTAATTTGAAATTTTTTTGAGAGTATTATTATTAAACTATGAGACACAAATCTCAAGCCCCAAAGTGGAGCTGCTACACAGCAGTGGTTAAAAGTGGAAGTTCAATGAATGTAACACGTTTAGATAAAAAACTCCGACTTGAAAAGTTGAAACTAGAGTGGAATTTCAAGTGTCATGACACATGGAAGTGTCAGAATTGAATCTAAAATGAAGTTTAAAAAGGAGTCTGAAAAGAAGTTCAAAATAAAGTCCAAGATGGAGCCCGAGGTTGAGTCCAAGATGGAAATAGAGATCGGGTCCAAGATTGAGGCCGAGACTAAGACCGAGACTGTGTCCAAGATTGAGGCCAAGACCAAGGCTAAGGCCAAGACTGAGATCATGACTGAGACCGAGACTGAGTCCGAGATTGAGTCCGAGATTGAGTTCGAAATTAAGTCTAAGTCTGAATACTAATACAAGTCAAGGGGTGAAAGCCCAAAGCGATCGTTCCCAGGGAAGTGTGAGGCATAAATCTCTAAGCCCCAAAGTGGAGCCAAAAGGGTGCCACGTGGTAGTGGCCAAAGCAAAAGCCAAACTAGCATAACACATTTGGACTAAAAGCTCCAACTTGAAAAGTTGAGAGTGGCAGTGGAACTCTCAATGAAGTGCTCAAGGAACGAGTATGAAGCAAGTAATAAGTGAGTCTCTAGAAAAGGAACACAAGACGGACCCAAAATGGGGTTTGAGATGGAGTCCGAGATGGAGTTCGAGATAGACCTAAGATGGAGTTTGAGATGAACCTGAGATAGAGTCCAAGATGGACCCAAAATAGAGTCCGAGATGGAGTTCAAGATGGACCTGAGATGGAGTCTGAGATGGAGTTTGAGATGGACTCGAGATGGAGTCTGAGATGGACCCAAGATGGAGTCCGAGATGGACCCGAGATGGAGTTTGAGATGGAGTCTGAGATGGAATCGAGATGGAGTCCGAGATGGAGTCTGATATGAACCGGAGATGGAGTCCGAGATGGACCCGAGATAGAGTCCGAGATGGAATTGAGACCAAGACCGAGACTGAGACCGAGTCCGAGTCCAAGTCCAAATACTAATATAGGCTATTGGGTGAAAGCCAAGCGATCATCCCGCGGGGGGGTGGTGCTGCAGGGGTGTAAGGAACCGACTCCCCGAGATGTCGTAGGCTAAAGGATCCCCAAAAGCTTGACCGAAATGACAAAGAGTTCATCGGATGGGACCAAGTCGAGGATCGAGTCCAAGACCGACTCTAGGACCGAGTTCGAGATAGAGTCCGGAATCGAGTCCGAGACCGACTTGGGGACCGAGTTCGAGTCCGAGTTCGAGACCGAGTTCGAGATGGAGTCCGAGATCCGAAATTGGGTCCGAGACCGAGTCCGAGGTCGAGTCCGAGGTCGGGTCCGAGATCGGGTCCGAGATCGAGTCCGAGACCAAATCCGAAGTCGGATCCGAAATCAGGTCCGAGATCGAGCCAGAGACTAAGTCCAAATACTAATACGGGTCAAGGGGTGAAAGCCCAAAGCATGCGTCTCCCGGGGGGGGGGCTGCAGGGGGTTCCAAAAGTATAGTAGGGATAGTGAGGTCCAGGAACCAGTCTTGAAGGAACTCTCTAGTGGTGCTTCCAAACTGACTTGAGGTTGAGACTGGGGCCGAGGGGCCTTGGGTGGGAGTGAGCATGGGCCTGAGTGGTGCCGGAGGGGCCACCCAGGGAAGTGCTCAAGAGCAGCTCCCACTCCCGAAAGGGAAACCGACTGCGGTGCTCCTAGCTCAAGTGGAGTGGTGCCCCACTTGAGTACCTTGTGGCTCATTGGTCCTCGCCCTTCCTAGGGGCTTGGGCCTTCCCTTCGGGATGGAAGTGGGGGGGTAGAGGTACCCATGCCGGGCCGTTAGGCCATGGTGTTTCGCCCCGACGTCCCGAAGCAAGTGCTGCACCCAAGGCTTGGGATTTAGAGGGTCCTATGATCAAGTCTTGTGGTACCTTGGGGTGTTAGGAATCTGGAGGCTTGGTGTGCTTGGCTGCTTGTGCCTGCGGGGAGTGTAGCCGAACCTTAAGTCCAGTCTAACCCAGGGAGGGGGATTGGGAGAGATTTGGGAATCCGTAGATGGATGGCTAACACTCCGCTGCTTGTGCAGTGAGTAGCTGAAATCAAGTAGGACCAAGTAGGAGCTGGTACCATAGGCGAGAACCTTGGCAAGGGAACTTAGCACAAGCCAAGGCAGAGTTGGTCGGATAGTCGAGGTAAGCTGGCAAATTGGAAAGGAAAAATTTGTGGCTTACAAGGGGGTTCCAAAAGTATAGTAGGGAGAGTGTGGGGGTTGGACCCCAGTGGAGCCAGTTTGGCTAGAAAAGGCCAGCGTGACCTAGGAAGGTTATACCCATGTGTTGGGTGATGATATATTCATTGAGGAGTCTAAGGCTAAAATGAATACGGATTGACAAGTGGGGTAACTTAGTAAAGTGTTCAAAAGCCAGCTCTAGTTCCTCCGGGAGATCAAATGGTCAATGCTCCTAGTCCAAGCGTGGGTGGCACTATTTACTTGGATACTTAGTGTGACTTAACGAAATTTCACTCTAGCCCCATAGCTAGAACACCCAAAGGTGGAAGGTGGGGAGAGTACCCATGTGTAAGGAACCGACTCCCCGAGATGTTGTAGGCTAAAGGATCCCCAAAAGCTTGACCGAAATGACAAAGAGTTCATCGGATGGGACCAAGTCGAGGATCGAGTCCAAGATGGACTCTAGGACCGAGTTCGAGATAGAGTCCGAGGTCGAGTCCGAGGTCGGGTCCAAGATCGGGTCCGAGATCGAGTCCGTGATCGAGTCCGAACCCGAATCCGAAGTCGGATCCGAAATCGGGTCCGAGATCGAGCCAGAGACTAAGTCCAAATACTAATACGGGTCAAGGGGTGAAAGCCCAAAGCGTGCGTCTCCCAGGGGGGGGGGGCTGCAGGGGGTTCCAAAAGTATAGTAGGGATAGTGAGGTCCAGGAACCAGTTTTGAAGGGACTCTCCAGTTGGGCTTCCAAACCGACTTGAGGTTGAGACTGGGACCGAGGGGCCTTGGGTGGGAGTGAGCATGGACTTGGCTGGTGCCGGAGGGGCCATCCAAGGAAGTGCTCAAGAGCAGCTCCCACTCCCGAAAGGGAAACCAATTGCGGTGCTCCCGACTCATGTGGAGTGGTGCCCCACTTGAGTACCATGCGGCTCATTGGTCCTCGCCCTTCCTAGGGGCTTGGGCCTTCCTTCGGGATGGAAGTGGGGGGCGAGAGGTACCCATACCAGGCCGCTAGGCCACGGTGTTTCGCCCCGGCGTCCCGAAGCAAGTGTTGCACTCAAGACTTGGGATTTAGAGGGTCCCATGATCAAGTCTTGTGGTACCAAGGGATGTTAGGAACCTGGAAGCTTGGTGTGCTTGGCTGCTTGTGCTTGCGGGGAGTGTAGCCGAACCTTAAGTCCAGTCTAACCCGGGGAGGGGGATTGAGAGTGATTTGGGAATCCGTGGAAGGATGGCTAACACTCCGTTGCTCGTGCAGTGAGTAGCTGAAACCAAGTAGGGGCTGGTACCATAGGCGAAAACCTTGGCAAGGGAACTTAGCAAAAGCCAAGGCAGTGTTGGATGGATAGACGAGGTAAGCTGGCAAATTGGAAAGGAAAAATTTGTGGCTTACAATTTGGTATCGGAGCCTTTATCTCAGTTCTAGCGAAGGATAGAGGCGGATTGCTGGGAGATGGCAAGGGCAGGGCGTAAGCGAACCCAGGCGGAGACGGAACCTCTGCCGGAGCTGGAGCCTCCGATTGAACAAGAGGCTATGGATGAGGAATCCTTGCATGAGGAGGACTCTAGTGAGGAAACTTCCAAACAGGAGTCCGGTGGCGAGGTTCGGTCATCCAAGGCTCGATTGGACGTGCTAGAAGGACAGTTGGCACAGACCAATGCCCTGCTGGAGACTCTCGTACGCAAGTTAAAGCGTGACGAGAAGCGGAAGAAAAAGCGAAAGACTGCGGATGAAGGCAGCGCAGAAGGTGCAGACCCTTCGGCAGGGACTGAGGCAAAACCAGACAAGGTCGAACAGACCGAAGTGGAATCAGTCCTTCAGGCAGTTCCCAAGTACAAACCAAAGCCCCCACCGGTGTTCAAGGGAGTGAACGACTATAAGGTTGTGGAGGATTGGTTTTACGATATGGAGGACTACTTCCGAGCGTTACGGTTACCGAGCTCGGAGAAGGTCCCATGTGCAAAACCATACTTGGCAGATAATGCCAAGTCTTGGTGGAGAACAACGGAGGCCAACGAAGGACCGGTGGCCACCTGGGACATGATGAAGGCGAGGATCCGCGCGACATACGTTCCTCCGAATGCCACTCTGCATCTGAGAGATGAGCTGAGTAGGCTGAAGCAGACTGGAACCATCCAGGAATATGTGAATGGGTTCATGGCAAAGAGGATACTTGTCACGGACATGGGGGATATGGATGCGTTCCATGCCTTTATATCAGGTTTGCAAACCTGGGCTCGCGGTGAGGTGATGCGCTGGAACCCGACCAACTACAAGGAAGCGTTGGATGCGGCCATCAAGGTGCATTTCAACGATAACCTGCGAAAGGGGAACACGACGGGGTCGGGATCCACGTTTCACAAAGGGGCCAAACCGAAGGGAATGTTTA